AAACGTTACAGACACACACACACACACACACACACACACACAATCTGCGTTTTATAATAAGTAAGATACCTAGTTAAGCGATGAAATAATTCTTAAACTAGTTGAACATGTTTTTTATAAGGTGTCTCCAAGAGAAAACCTATGTTCCAAAGCTATGTTATTAATAAATATCGTATCATCCCAATGTTCGTGGGTTGAGATTGTGTGGCTGTCATGAGAAAACCGTTTATCATTATGAAAAACAATGGTAAAAGAAAAAGTACTCAATTAAAAAATGCAGAGCTTATGTATTACAGCAAATGATGAAATAGCGAACGTTACTACATGCCGATTCCACGACTGAGTTTGAGGCGGCTCGTAATCTTCAAGTGCAAATACAGAGTGTTTTACAATTTCTGAAATAAAATGATTGCGTACCAATCAAGGATCACAAATGACAAAGTAATGGAAATTATATTTACAGATAACCTTTTAAGATCTGCAAGAATTTAGTCTAAAACATGAACCAAAAATATCAAGACAAGCTCTAGAGTACATGCTCCTGTTGAATGCAATGTTGTTGATAACGCGTGCACATTCCTACTGGGTGATCACTTATAATCTTCTCAGTGATCGCTGCCTTCAATGCAGCAATGGTGCCAGTTGTGCCCTGGTAAATGTTATCCTTGAGAAACCACCATAGGAAAAAATTGAGGTGGGGTCTGGTCAGGCGAGTGAGTTGCCCATGCCACTTTAGCTTTGCGGCTGAAGAGATGCTCCCTAAAATTTTTCACTGGGCCATGCTATGGTAACATTAGCAGTGTGAGAAAGATCATCATCCTACTGGAACTACTGTTTCATCTCATCAATCTCCCCCACGCTCCTCGAGCTCAACCTATCTGCGAGGCTGCTACTTTGTTTTAAAATTCATAGCGATCGGCCCAATTCTTATCCCGCACCTACAATTATTGTGCACAGCTATCCCGGATATATATATATATATATATATATATATATATATATATATATATATATATATATATATATATATCGTAATCGTAATCGTTTGAAAAACCTCGGATAGCTCAACTTGCAGATATATCAGGACAAATTGGTAGCCGAGGAAAAAATAGGAAATAAAAAAAGAAAGAATCAAAAACATCAGAACAAGAGTAAACACATCACCAAGTGATTTAAATCCTTAGTCCAAAGAAGAAAAAAACAAACAATTAGAAAGACTAAAACAAAGTGCTCAATACGCGAAGTAGATCAGTTTACCATGAAGATATGTTAGGTGAAACCTAGCTACATTTACCTGGCTCCTTAGGATTTATATATATATATATATATATATATATATATATATATATATATATATATATATATATATATATATATATATAAATAATATAGACAATATGTTTGTCTATTTATTTAATGTAAATTCTTTCATAACGTCTGATAAGTTTAATAATAATAATAATAATAATAATAATAATAATAATAATAATAAAGCTTATTAGACGTTATGAAAAGAATTTATATAAAATAAATAGACAACACTTATCTATATTATTTAACGAAACATGTATGAATGAAAAAAATGCTGCCTAAATACACACACAATATATATATATATATATATATATATATATATATATATATATATATATATATATATATATATATAAAAAAAAAGAACCGTAAGATATATAATCCAGTGTTCTTATAGATATTTTATTTTTACAAAATAGTGCTCAAACATGGTTAGAACTGTGTAGCGGAAAACCATACTTTAAATCAATTTATTTATGTTTGGATTGCTTTATTTTGTTTTACGGCATATCAACACCTCCATGGGGTATATAATGCCGTCAAGATTTTTAGAATAGTTTCGTATGAATAAAACATTTATTTTTTGTATGAAATCAGTTTGTACATCAGGTTTCAATGGCGTATTTTTTGTAAACAGTAATTTTTGTCGAGAGTCTGGTTTCATTCATGTATTCTTCTCAGATAGTTTGTTGAGAAATTGATTTTATTGACATTCTCATTTGGTAAATATATTTTGGTATGGTGCCACTGTTTTAAAAATTATAGTGTTTCATCTAGTTTGTTTTTTGTTTTTTTTTCTTGAAGAGCTCATACATGTTCATATTATATTTTTGTCTTGAAAGAACAAGGTCTGAACCCTTGGTTAATATATGTTTAATAGTGTATGTCGTTTCACATACTTGACTTTCTTGTTGCTTGGTTTGATCTATTTTGTTTTACAACATATCAACCTAAATGGGTTATTTAATTCTGAGAAGAATTTTAGGATAGATTCGTATAAATAGAATATGTATGCCTTGTAAGAATTCAGTTTGTAGAACAGGTTTCATTCACGTATTTTTGTATTGTTGGTAATATTTTTTTTCGAAAATGTTTTGCTGGTATTTTTTCTATAAAAAATTATTTCTATACTCTTATAGTATGGGGGTTAACTATTTGCCTATAGATGTGACTCTAACAGGTGCTACCACCCCGGGTCAGAGTGGGCATGAGAACAATAGCAATCAAGAGGCGGTTCGACGCTCCTCAAAATCTCCAGATCAGAGGTTTGCTGCCTGATGTTTTTTATCGTCATACCTAGGACTCCCATTATCTGTAATATTAACGTCTGTGTCAAGCGCAAGCCGCATCATATATTTTCTTTTGGAAGCTATGGTTTTAACGCATACCGACCACTTTGTTTCTGAACTTTCATTCCCATCATCTACAGTTCTTACTCAAAATACACAGAGGCACCTGTTACTCTTATGCATTGTTTAAACCGCCTGGTTCCTTATATAGACGAGGCTGGGCTGAAAGACTTACTATGAAGGAATAATGCTCGAGGTGGGAAATATTGTATGCGTTAATCTCAACTCCTCTTATTAATAACTGATTTGTTTCTTCCGGGTTAATTGGCTTCTGACTGTTCAAAGACGTCTTTTCATCCTGTTGGTCGAAAAAGTTATAAACAAGAGTTAAAACAGTTCGATCCCTATTTGCAGCTGCTTAGAAAATTCAACGTTTAAGAAACAACGGATTAATATATATATATATATATATATATATATATATATATATATATATATATATATATATATATATATTATAAACAATAAATAAATTATATAATTATAAATAATAAATAATATAAAATAAATAAATAATATAATATATGAATTTATAAATAAATCTATAATTAAATTATAATTAAATAAATTTAAAATTAAATTTATGTAATAAACAAATTTATAAAAAATATTTATAAATACATTTATAAAACATTTTGTATAAATTTTATAATTAAATTTTAATAAATAAATTTATAAATAAATTTTATAAATTAAATTTATAGATAAAATTTGTAAATAAAATTTATAAATAAATACATAGATATAATAAATAGATTTAATAAATAAATAATATGATAAATAAATTAATAAATAAAATTTATAAATAAATTTATCAATATTTATAAATAGGTAAATAAATTTATAAATAAATGTATAAATAAATTATAATTAAATAAATTTATAAATTAATTTATATAATGAATAAATAAATTTATAAATAAATCATTTTTAAATAAATTTATAAATAAATTTATAAAAAATATAAATAAATTTTATAAATAAATTTTATAAATAAAATTTATAAATAAATTTATGAACAAATTGATAAATATAATGAATAAATATAAGTATTTAAGTATATAAGCTTTGGATTAAATGCATATAAAAAGCAATTGACATTGTATCTAATATAGCCGAATACAATAATGATTTACATAGAAAAGTTGAAAGATACAAGAACACTTAGATTTAGATTTAGTACCTGGTATTAATAAACGGTCAGCCATGTAGGTACAAACTAGGTTCGACATTACTTAACTTCGGTGACCGTAGGGAAACAGGTGTTTCAACCTGATATGGCCATAAGCCTATTCATATTCGAGAACCGTCCGAGGTATAACGATAGACTACATCCGGCAGCAAGGTCTTTGAACGGGAGGTTTTGAGAATCGTGGGACCACCTCTTAATTGCTGTTATTCCCAGGTTCATCCTAACTCCTGGGTGGTAGCACCTGTTAGGGCTCTAGTTATGGGCAAGTAATTAACCCACAAACTGGGTCAAAACGCTATGAAAATATAAACATTTTATAGTCAAAATACCAGCAATAGATTTTCATAGTAAGAAATATACAAGCACTGCATTTTTGTAATAAATAAAAAATTTAAAAAAATTACCACAAGGCATTTTTGAAAAAAAGTACAAGCAGTACATATTTGCAGAAGCAATTACTGATTCTCCTATGAAAATATAAATTTAGTCATTAAATGGTCCATTAGGAGTTGATATGCCGCTAAACAAACAACAAAGAAATCTTATTAGAAAAAGTGTAAATTAGCATTGTTAGAAATAAATTTATTATTGTAGATTCTGAAATTACTGCTTTTTCAGTACATTTTAATTAAAGCTGTATTCGTTGAATTGAAATTATGGCTAAACCTATTTGGTTGAACACAATTGACTGTATTGTTTTACAAAGACAACTTTTGTGTCCATATAAACATTTATTTAAATTCTTAGATGTTTCTTGGGACCTTTATTAACGGTCTATTGTTTTGTATTTCTGTTACAGATTAAAAGAACGACAATTAGATCCCAAGATACAATACAAGAGGAAATTCCTCAAACCATCTTTCCAGAAAATTTGTTGACGCTTGTCAGATAATAAAAGAATAATGAATATGTGGAGAGAGCCGTGAACATGAACTCCATAAAATAAGACGGTGTTAAAAAAATAATGCTTATGATAGAGTAGAGGTGGTGGTTCTGGAAATTACTGGGCACCAAGCGGAGAATTTTGTGCAGATCCGTAGGATGAATGTTGGTGGTGCGTTCGCATGCATGCAAATTCAGCAATCCCCATTAAATCTACAAGGGGGGGGGAAGCAAGGATGTTCTAAAAATATTTCCATTTTCAGAATTTTCTATGCTTCACGCTTAGCCGTAGGAGAAAAGCAGAGAAGGAAACTGAGAAATACTTTCTCTTTCTTTTTCTCTCTCTCTCTCTTCTTCATGCGCTTTCTCTCTCTCTCTCTCTCTCTCATGTGCACACTCTCTCTCTCTCTCTCGTGCGAACTCTCTCTCTCGTGCGCTTTCTCTGTCTGTCTGTCTTTCTTTCTCTCGTGCGCACTCTCTCTCTCTCTCTCTCTCTCTCTCAGTTTAGTTGGATCAAGGGAGAAGAAAAACAAATTTAAAGAAAAAAAATCGTATTTCCTGTGAAAATTGATTTTTGCCTTGGGTTAAAAATTGATAGCAGAATAAAACGGCAACCATATAAAACCATAAAAATACCCCCCCACAAAAAAAAAACGAACAAAAAGAGTATTCAAAGAAAATTGCAGGTGTTTTAAGTACGGATTAGTGCTTCAAAAATATTCTTCATCTGCGCTGCTATGAAGACTCAATCTACAAAATTTCCGGAACACGTCCACCGATTCCGAATATTTCTAGATCAGGTTTATTGGGTATGTGTTACATTGGTAACTAATCCGAGATGACCTTACTCTGTATAGATGAAGAGTCACGTTCCTGAAAGGCATACAATTGGCAGTGAGATGACAGCGAGTACTATTGCTGTCGTACTCAGTCGCAGATATCAGTTGACTAGCAGCATGGCCCGGCGTTGGCCGTGCTTGATTCAAAAATCGTACGACTCATACAGCAATCGCTATCACTTGGCTTAAAATATTTTTGCCCTTCCTTGCCTTTAAAGGATTGCCCTTTGCCTTGCTGATGTTGCTACATGCCTTACTTCTTGCCTATCTCACACTGCCAATTTTTTTCTAAGCCCTACACTAATCATTAAACCTGTTACGAAAAAGAACTAAACAAAATGAACACAAAACGATCAGCTTTAAAAAAGGACTCATAACTGGAAAAACCGAATGAAAAAAGAACGTTCACAACAAATATTTTTTCACACCCAACCCAGTTCTGCGGAATCAGAATCAACGTTGAGTTTAAACAAGCGAATGAACCAATTGTAGTAAAGTGCCATGCACATTTAATTTTTTCCCACTTGTGACGAATGCAGCTATCGGTTATTTTTTTTTGCATTCTAGCATGCTAGTTAACATTCGTGTCAGTCAGCTGTTGGCTCTCACGCTGGCCAATAGAATCTTCCTGCCTATTCGTGGCAGCCAGCTATAGGCTCTCAATCTGGCCAGTAGAAAATGACCGCAAACTACATAAAACTGCCGTAGAAGCATGAAAAAATCGATTATTTCCACTATCGATGGGAGTTGGGAAATGCAAGGTCGGTCTTGGCCTTCCCGCTAATTTGGAGCATGTGCATGTAAATTTTGGTGCAAATTCGTCGAAAATTGCGGCCGTGCATTCGTTACAAACACATACACACATCCTGCCTTTTATAGATAGAGATTTGTGATTCTATAATTAACGTGTCAGCTTATACCATGGTGTACAAGAATTTTAATTTTTTCAGAGACCTTTACTTCTAAAATTATTTCATGTTTACATTTAAACATTATTATTATTATTATTATTATTATTATTATTTTTATTATTTCCTTGGTTTCTGCTGTATACGCATTATCTTCTGGCTCCCAACTAGATATCTAATGTCAGCAATGGTTTCATGACATTTCACACTGATCATTTTCTGTAAAAATATAAAAGTAAAAGAACTAAAATTAAACATATATATCAATGAGTCTACAAGACCCTTTTTTCTTCAGAAAAGGGTTGCAGACACAACTGGAATTCTTGATGGCATCATATGACACATTTTTTTTAGATTTCCACTTCAAGATCCTTGTATTTTGATAGTTTTTAAAGAACTTCAAAGATATATTAAAATCTGCAAAGACTGCTATGTCAATAAGAATCACTATCTGTTCTTGTGGTCATTGAACTCGGTGTCTGGGCGATTAGATTTCATTATTCTGTCTGTGTGTATTGCAAAGTATTATTATCATTATTATTATTATTATTATTATTATTATTATTATTATTTGTATATGTTATGTTTCCTGTTTTCTATCCTTTAGAGCCAAGTATAAACTATGATATTTAATTGACAGCACTTATCTTAGTATATGGGATGATACTAGTAGGTCGATCTTCTGGGCAACTTACATGTTAATGTTACCTGTGACAATGTTAGTGAAATTTCCCATTCCTTTTCTCACTACGCTAACACTACCGATTACTAGTGGTACAGTCTCAGTCTTCATTTCCAACATCCTGTTAATCTCGATCTACAGGTCCTTATATTTGGACAAATTATCGATAATTTTCGTTGAGGTGTTTCTCTCAGATGGTACTGTTAAGCCAGTAAGCATACACTTCCTGAAATTCTTGTCTTTCGTAATAATATCAGGTCGGCTGGGTTGTATTTCCCTGTCAGTTTGAATTGGCATGCCCCAAAGGATAATTACATCGTTATTTTGGGTAATTGCGTCTGGTTGGTGCTTATAACATGTCTCAATGATTTCGATTTTGTGCTTCCTGCATATCTTCTAATGTCCATATGTTGCTATCTTGATATGTCTGTGGTTATATTCATGTTTTGCTAGTTCGGGACTTTCTGAGATAATATGGTCGACAGTTTAATCATATTTTCCGTAGATTCTGCATTTCGGATTAGTTCCATCTTTGATTATATGACATTGATAGGATCTGGTTACGAGGCTTTGTTCCTAAACTGCAATAATTAAGCCTTCTGTCACAGCGTTCAAACGGTATTCCGCCGCCACTGATGTGTTTTCTTTTTGTTCACATCTGCTTCTTTGGCTCATTTTAGGTATTTGCCATGCAACATCTTGTCCTCACAGTTGTTTTATTTCTAATTTCTTCCAACGAAGTTGTTTTGCTTTCTTTTCTTTTTTTACTCGTTTGGCGTAGATAGTGTTCGCTTCATTTTATTGTTGCTAGCATTGCAGGTATAATTAACTGTTTCTTAACTGGTTTGAGGGGAGCCGGAACTACAAATAAAAAAATACTAACAATCAGAAAGAGTCAACGAAAAAAAAATAAGGAAAAAAATAACTAAGAATGGCTGATCATTTGATGAGATGAACGTTAAATTAACTTAATGTCATGATAACTTAGGATATTTATTATTGTATAGGGCACCTAGTGAGGATCAAACTCAATACTTAGTATTAACGACTAACCAGAATATAATACGGTTTATCAACAATTTGGAAGCAATTTAAAGCCATAAAAATAGTTTTAGATTGTAAGATTTCTTCTTTTTAAGATGAACGAATAAGGTACCCCAAAACCAACGAGATACCATAATGTATTGCTGATATAACAGAACGAAAGGAAGTTTTAGACGAACCATCACTAAAGATGCTGTGAAAATAGTCGGCGCTCAGTTCAGCTCCAGAAGAGTAAAATCAGATGAAAAATCGAGAATTGTTGCTATATCTCGGCTGGAGCAAACCAATCCTCATTTCCTAGGCTTGACAGTGTTCAAAATCCTCTACGAGACCATGTGAGCAATGAATTCTTTTCTGCGTTACAACCTCTCTCTAGCAGACGTAACCTAGCAAGCCTCTTGCTACTCTATCGCTCTTTCTATGACAAATGCTCTGCCGGGTTACTTTGCCTATTCCCAGCAGTTCAGACATTCACGTCTAACATCCACCATGATATATAAACAGAGACGCCTAATCTTCACTCACTTCGTGTTCTACTGGTAAGAAGCAAGTTTCAATTATATATATATATATATATATATATATATATATATATATATATATATATTTCGGAAATGTTAATTTGTGAATCAGACTCCCAAGATAGCTAGGATCTTCAGTTTAGAATCAACCGAGACACACCCTACATATAGATGCACTTCTTACTCCCTTTTTTTCTCGCACTTTCATCAATCGCATTAGGTAACTCTCTATCTTGAATAACGAAAAGCCAACAGGGTCACTAACATCCTGAAAGAATATGGCATACAGAAAGCGAGAGAGAGAGAGAGAGAGAGAGAGAGAGAGAGAGAGAGAGAGTCATTTGTGGCTCCATCTCTAAAAAATAAAGGTTGTTTACAAAAAGGTAAATAAATAAACGACTCATTCTTGCTCACAGTAGCTAAGCTGACACAAACCAATCAAGTTAAAACGAGTAGTTTATTCTCAACCTAATTTTTTGTTTGATTTTTTACGTCTTCCATTATTCGGCTTATATGTTTTACGCTTGGCTCGCAATAAATAAGAAGTAGAATGCTTAATCGATAAAAGCCGGCTAAAATAAAGTTATAATCTATTCGTTCTCTTTAATGGACGACTTAACAGATACTAAAAGAGATGATGAAATACAGGCAATAACTCGGACGTTGAAATACATAAATACAACAAATAAGTAAAGGAATAAGAAAAGAAAAATGGAAGAAATTGAAGGATATGTAAGAAAGAAATCACGCATGCGCACTCATTCCGTTGCGAGAGAAACGTAAGTATTGTCGACAATGTTTTCGGTGACCTAAATAGCGAAGCAAAATAAGTGTAAAAAAAAAACATAGTTACATGAACCCTCTAAAAAGAAACATTGATCCCACAAGTTGCTTTGCTAGTAAAGAATTAAACATAAATAAAGAAAAAAAGCCTGGCGTCACTGAAACTAGCAGAGAAATTCCTATTCTTACCAAACAACATGAAGCGAGACGAACCAGTGAGTTCTTTGTTACTTTGGTTCATACAATGGCATAAACAAGCTACTTTGAATGGGGAAAAAAAGGAAATTTTCCAGTGTAACTTCAATTACGTCAACGAGAAGGGAGAAAGAGAGTGTCTTTGAATTGTTTCATGGTGAATGTGCACACATAGACGAGGAAATACCAGCCGCCATTATCTTCAATCTTAAAATCGCTATTTTCTTTTGTAGAAAAAGCGTTAAATACATTAATAGAAACGCTACTACAAAAATGGTAGCGATACCTCCAACAAAGCTTCACCAGATTATGACTCCGAGAGCAGGAATGATTTCGTAACCGAAAGATAATTAGTAAGGCACCCCATATATATCTCACGATATCGTTACCACGCTTTGTTGATTTTCCGACAAAATGTGGCATTGTTAAATGCATACAGAGGCATTCACTTCCCAACTATCTCTCTCTCTCGCTCTCTCTCTCTCTCTCTCTCTCCTCTCTCTCTCTCGCTCTCTCTCTCTCTCTCTCTCTCTCTCTCTCTCTCTCCTCTCTCTCTCTCTCTATATA